ACCATTTAACAGGTTTTTACTGTAGCATTTTTACAGTCTTTTACCATTAAATTCACGGTCATTTTTTACAGCGTGCATATGCAGCAAATTCCAGCAAATTGTATTTACATAAATAATGTTTAACCAGAAATTCATCCACCTAAAATGTATTATCAAAAAATCTTAAAGAGGTCACGTGACGCATCTAATGGAGTAGCAGTCACAGGTCATATCCAGTATCAAAGATAAAGAAGGCAGGTGCCATCACGATAACAAAGCAATTAACAACATTTTTAGGGCATTTTATAATAGGCTTTACACATCCCAATCGGGCTTTTCTTTGTGTGATAATATGAATAAATTCCTTGCAAACTTAAATTTACGGGAATTAACTGAGGAGCAAAGACAGACGTTAAACAAACCAATTGAACTACTTCGCAATCACAGATTCTAGCCTACGTCTTGGAATATATGACCCCAATAAGAATTTTCACCGTATATTGTCATCTGAACAAGTAAGTAACAAGTCTGCCACGTTTGTTCTGACCAACTGAGGGGAAAAAAAGCATTACAATAAATCGCGCTACCAATGGTGATTTAAATCTAAAGATCGGTTAGCTCATGTCACATCAAACCTTGCAAATTATTATTATTGTTATACTTTATTCTCAAATTGTTAATGTTAACAACATCAGCATTACGTGACTATGTGAATATAGTGTGTATTAGCGTGTAGATTTCAATTTCTGGACAGTCTAATCTCTAATTGTCATACCATTCGAATTTCATATTAAGAAATTCTTTTAACCCAAAAAGCAAATTATGCTCCCTTCAAACAGGTTCTCTTTAAAATACAAATCTTGTGCAATCCCAGGCTATCTGTTATCAGAAGCACATTTAAATCTGGAATATAATTTAATTTCATTCATATGTGTTTCATAAACACATAATCCTTTCTGAATTACAATCCCCCATCAAAATTATACATTTAATTATTCTAGCTGCTGTGAGAAAAGGCTATAAACGATCCGCCACCTGCAGGATCCGCACATGCGATATCCTAGTAGCCGGGACAACTTCTTTGTGTTTACAGACGTGACGTAATGACGCAGCGGCATGCTTGAATTTCCTGCGAAAACCTACCCGTACCACTCAAATTAAAAAACATTATTATAAGATAACCGTTGTGAATCGGGCTAAAGTCAGGCGATAGTTTTGAACACTGGCTGGTTATGTACTTGCTCAAATATTGATTTCGGATCATTTTTAACCAAAAAAAGTTACGGACTACAGCTTTAATGAAGATTCAATGTGAGTCCTTTACAGCCAAATAAAGCTAGATAAATATATGAATAAATAAAGCTGCACGCTTCTGTTTTAAACCCAACATGCCACATAAGCAGCGATAATTTTTACACAGTTTTTGTTTCAGTCATTTGGTATTGTCTTATGATAAAAATGTCCTTTAATCAATATTTCATAATTTCATATACAGTACATTAATTTTAGTCCATCTTCTTATTTTTATTTAATTAATATGTATAAAGATTTGTTAATTACCACGTAACATTTATCAGCATAAAACCTGCAGAAACCATATGTTTTAATTAAATATTTCTTTACTTTTCTTTACACTCGTTATTGTTGACGAAATAAAATAAAAAAACCTTGGTCAGCAAACATTTCACTGACAAGATTAACACCGCCCATAGACTTCCACTATAAGTGCATTGTTGTATAAGAGTTTTCTAATTTTCTTGTAAACTGAGAGGCAAATCCAAATTGCTTAGAGTTTAAGTTGTATATAACAGAATATTCCTGTAAAACTGGACTGGATGTTTGATTCTGTATGTTGTTGTGTTGTAGAACTTGGCCATGTTCCTCAGTATGTTGGTGGCATGGTTGATCCCAGACATGCCTCGTTCTCTGAAAGAGCAGCTAAAGAGAGAGAAAGCACTCCTGATGGATCTTCTGCTCACAGAGGAGGCGGACAAGCAGTGCACCCAGTCACACCCAATGACAACTACCAATAATGATGTAGTCATCAAGGGTCTAGAGGAAGGATCACCAGAAGAGCTGCCTGTCTGCAGTGGAGTAATGCTAAGCCAGTCAGATGAAGAGCTGACCAACAGAGAGGAGGAAGAGCTTGAGGAACAATCAGCAGAGGAACCGATTGCATCCACCAGTGATCTGCCTAATAGACCTCGACCTTCGACCTGTGAAAGTCTCAATACAACTTCAGAGTCCCTGTCTAAGATAGCCTGTCATGATGAATCACTCACCACACCTCTAGCATGTTCAAACCAGTCCATTCATTCAATCAAAACAGGCTCACTATCACGACACCGAGAGTTTGACTCGAATGGACCTCCACCTCGAGACCCAAGTTCCAGGGCTAAGAGCCGTTGCCAAACCCTTCCGCCAAGGCACGGAGGACCTGATGCTGAAGCACATGCAACCAGACCCAGCCACTCGACGACATTCACACATCTCGACCAGAAAGTTCCTCCATCCTCTTGTGAGCTCACCCGTATGGTTCCTAGAGGACCATCTAAAACCAAGCCCTCTGAAAGTCAAACGTCCTTCTCAGATTCACTGGATTCAGAGCTCACGAGCAGCCATTCCATAGCACTTCCTCGTCCACCATCCAGACCGGAGCTTGCTAGCAGCCTTTCAACAGTCTTGCCACATCCTCCTTCGAAACCAGAACTTGTGGCCAGCCAGTCAGCAGGACTACCACGCCCTCCCTCCAAACCAGAGCTGATGGGAAGCGAAACAAAAGGGCTTCCACCTCGTGATCCAGGCTCGAAAGTTAAGGGTCGATGCCAGACTCTTCCTCCAAAGTATAGAGGCTCAGAGACTTCTGGGGAGACGAAGACCAGACCTAGTCACTCCACCACCTTCACACACCTCAGTCAACAGATCCCCCCCTCACCCAGTGATCTCAAACGTAACACTCCCGTATGAGTGTGATAAGATGAAGTGGAGCAACACTCTACCTTTTCAGCACCTTGCATCCAATCACCATGCTCAGTGCCAGGCAACCCATGCCATCAACAACTCATCAATTTCTCATTAATGACTGAACAAGCATCTTCAGTAACTCTGGAAGTAGATCAATTGTTGGTGGCTTGGTGGAGGTTCACTTGGTTGGTTAACTAGGGGGACTTCTTTGCACAGAATCACCCTTTTTATTGGAGGACCGAGTGCAGACAAGTTCGACTTGTGCATTCTTGAGTATTTTTATGGAGCCATCTGATATGGATCGATGACTCCTAACATTGTTTTATACTGTGACTTGCCATTCTCTCTTTCACATATAAACTCCTGTACAGACATACGCAGATATACACACACCAAATCTCATTAACCTGACCTCTTGAACCAGAACAGGGGAGAAGAGAGAGAGGCTTAGGAATATGGGCCAAAGGGCTTTGCAGTCCATATGATTTGTTACTCAGCAAGTGGAACTTTCATTTTGTGGTGTGTTCTTTCATGAGTTTTGCTACATGTACTTAACCAGAATAATAACTAAATGTGAACTTATTAACACAATATGTCAGCTTCAAATGAGCCAACTTGTTTGTGGAATTGTCTTTTTGTCTTTGGTGGCAACATCTGTAGTGTCTCATTCACATGGCAAGTTAGCACATAGCTTGGCAGCACGCTCATGACACGATAAAGAAATGTGATGTTGAAATGGATTCAAAGCCAATTACATTGTACATTGCAAATACACTGTAGTATTTTACATAATCCCATTTAGCACTATGCTAGCACTGCTAAAGCTAATGTAAAGCATGCTATATTCACTGTGAAGAGGTTTTCAGGGATTTAGACCCAATCGTCACTTTTAAAGTTGTTCCTCACTAACGGGGGACAAAAGGTATGAATGTGCACAGGCCACGTTCACACTGCCAAGTTTCTGAAGTGACAAACACTTTTATTTGCAGGAATGAATAGCTAAGTTATTGTTCCATTTGTGTATGGAATACAAGTGTCAATCCAAACAAGCAATAATTGATGTCTCGCAGCTGTAAGCATGAAAGATATATGCCAGCAGTTTAGTCTTTTTTGGTGTTTTCTATTTTTCCTCAAACTAATATTAGTGTACTGAGATGTATTAGCATCTGGCCATTTTTAATGCTTCATTAGTTGTCACTAATATCTAAACTCTGTGTGTACAGAACAGGATTAAGAGATTAGTTCACCCAAAATGAAAATTGTCATAATTTACTCTGATGTCACTCCAACTAATGTTGGTTTCTTTCATCCCTGGAACACAAAATAAAAAATTATGTTGAGAGTCCAGGCTCTTTGATGTAATAAAGTGAATGGCTATTTATACTTTACAAACTCTATAAAAGACAAAAAGCACCATAAAAGTAGACCAGATGACTCGTATGCTATATTCTGAAGCCATACAACAAGGTTAAGGCTAGAAGGGATACAGCTGCGGCTACTGGGCATGCACACATCAATATAGCCTAATTTTTAGCGTAATACACTGTACAACAATAATTACTATTTTTTCATTATTGTAAGGGGTAGGTGTAGACGTTAATAAAGCACAATCTAATAGGTAGAAATTTCATTTTCATTGTTCGTTTCCGGTCGGAGCTGTATCCCTTCTAGCCACAACCATACAACAGCTTGTGTGACAAACAAACTCAAATTTTAGGGTTAACTATTAAAACAACTAGAGTTGACAGCTGTATTTAGCTGCAGTGTGGACAAGGCCTCTGTGTATTCAAGTCTATGTTGAATGGCAGGTGTGTATGATATGCATTATGCTAACGGATCAATTAGCTAAGAACAGTTACAAACCAGTGTTCAAGTAGAACATTCATGTCCATGTTATTTCTAGAGGTCTTGAGAAACTCTGACAATATTTTGATATTATGAAGGGGGAAAAAAACAATTACTGTTCATAATAAAAAGTGGAAAGTAAGAAGATTCTGTTTTTTATTTTATATATTTTTTAGCATCCCCAGGCTACAGATTGCATAGAATCTCTAGCCTGGAGGGGGAAAAAGCTGTTTTGTCAGAATGCACTGCTACTTTTGAGTGGCTGTCAATGGAAAATGTGCTTTTATCCCTCATAATGTTGTAGTTACAGCATCTACCAGCAGGGGTTTACTGGATTATGCTTACCAGCAAAACCTTGACCCTGTGTTGTATACTGACTCTAAGTGCTGTATTGTCCACCACCACTAGATGGAGACAACAGCAACCTACACAACGAGACAGTGAGTGGTGGGACACTAGTGAGACAAAGGACTAGGATCAAAATCCAATCATGCACAGACTAATGAGTATAGGTGGAGCCAGCGATTCATACACTCTAACGATATTACATAAAGTAAAGATTTCTTCTGTCCTGCATTACCACATATGGGACTTTCCCCCTAGTAAAAATGTTAAGGAAATGTCTAAAGGAACCAATCCTAAAGAGGAATTGTCTCAAGAATCAAATTTCATAAACTGAAATGTTCTCATTTTTAAATACATATAATGCATTAATAACAGTTGTCAAAATCCTATAAGAATGTGTAGGAGTCATACTGGATCATAATTTAAAACCAACGCTAACGTATACTGATAAACATTAAAAACTAGATCTAGTTACTAATAGCACCATTATGATAATCATTAGAATAATATGCTTGTGTAGGATTTTAAAAGGAATTTAAAGAACAGTAGGATTTCCATTTAATCATTTAGCAGACGCTTTTATCCAAAGCAACTTACAAATGAGGACAATAGAAGCTTTCATTTATCTTCCTTTTTCCTTTATCTATCCAGTAGTAAGGCATGTTCTGATAAAGATTACACAATATCCAGTAGGAGTTCAAGGATCCTGTAGGATTTTCAGTTTCATTTGTTTAATTTCCATTGGAATCTAAATTGGTTCCAAATTATGGAACTTATCACTTTTTTAAATTTTAGTCAGTGTGTAGTGTGTATGTTTGGGCATAAAAAAGATCTAGAAAGTTACAAATCTCAAAGTCCACTCCAAAGGGAGATATTTAGTTTTTTAAAAATTCCTTTTCAAGAACTACAACGAACGGCTCGTTTGGACTACAGCGTTTGTTTTCCGGGCTTTGTGATATCACAAAGCGGCTCATTAGAATATAACTAATCGAGCCGTTTGTGCCAGGCTGGGGAGAAAGGTATTTTAATAATGTAAATTATGTGGAAAAAAAATAGTTTTCATCATTTTTCGAACCACCAAACGTGAGAGCATGTTCTAGTACACCCCCAAAACAAAATCAAGACTTTGTAAAAGAGCATAATAGGACCCCTTTAAACAATTGAAGATTTTGATTGGGGCATTGCAAGAACTATGGCTTGCTAATGTACAGTTAAAAATCCCACAGGGGGCGCTATAGGAATTTAAAAATTCTAAACAATTTTCTTTAAATGACTTTTAAGGTTTTACATGGGCATTTTATCTGACTGCTAAGAATAAAAACCCAAATTACAGTATGTGTTCTAAAAGATACAGATTCTGGTTTGTGTTTTGTTGAAGTCCTGTACAAAAGTCATTAGTATAATTTTCAGTTGGTTCCAGTTATGATCCAGCAGGAATCCTATACACATTCCTGTAGGATTTTGGCTAGAGTAAGTAGATGCTTTCATTCCAAATCTCTCACAAGTTGCCGAGTACCACTTGCAGAGTGTTCCTGTAATTCAGCTGGTATAGCATGACCCGAGCAACACTAAGGTCACGGGTTTGGTTCTCATGGAATGCACACACCGATTAAAAAAAACAATGTAAAACTTGACCACACTGTAAGTCATTTTGAATAAAAGCACATAAATGTAAATAAGGACTAAAACACTAAATGCAAAGTAAGAATGTCACAACAAAGAGAACATTTCTCTTATTCAACCTGTGAGTTATTAACCTGTTTAGGGCATGCAATATTTCAAGGTTAATGTCCTCTCGCTCCTTCTAACTCGGCCTTTCTTTGACTATACCTGAGGTGATTGTGGCCCCTCCCACATATCCAGTTCTCTGGCCCCCTTTCAAGACACACACAGACGGTTCAATGAGCTCTTTGTGGGGGGTTGAGGTATGCAGTGAAAGTGTTTGTGTGTGTGTAAGAGAGAGAGAGTTCCCTTGTTCTGTTAGTACCTAGTGGATTCATCAGGACTGGGCACAGCTCTGGAGGATCAGCTTAAAGGTGTGTGTGTGTGTGTGTGTGAACAGAATTACAACAGAAAAAGCAGGAAATCAGGAGGAGGAAAGAGAAGAGTGTGTAAAACTAGAAGAGGACACAAATCTGAGAGGGGAAAGAAGGTATGGATGTGTTTGTTTCTGTTTGGCATGTGTTCCTCAATCAGTCTTTGGGACGTTATGTGTGTCTGTTTGTCATGGTAACAAACTGTCAGTGCTTACTATAAGAACACATGCAATAACCTGAGCTAAACTGCTTTCGCTCTAACAAAATACTACTTGAATCAGAGTGTTTTGCTTTTGCCTTATGTGTAATACAAGGTTAATTAGATACTATTGTTCTATTGTGAGCTGGACTTGTGGGTCTGAATGAATTTATGTAAGTCCAGATCCGTACTGCAGTTGGATACTCCCAGTGAGACTCATAAATGGCTCTCTTTAGAGCTGTTCAAACATGTTTTGAACTCTTTTTCACAATCTGTTCCCGCATACTATTGTAGATTTCAGTATTTGCATGTCAGTTATCTAAAGTCTGCCACTAATGTTTCTGCCACTGTTAAACAAGTCACATTTTCTTTGTTGCAAAAAGCCTCCATGTTCTGAAGGACTAAACTTATGGTCCTGAAGTGGTACAGAAACTAGTAAACAGAATTTCCCAGTAAATTTTGCAGGTGTCTGTGTTCATTTGTCTCTATTGTGTATTGTGCTCAGTTATGTATCCTATTACAGGAGCTAATGCATAACAGTAATAGCCTGGGAAAATGGACCCAAATATTCTATTCTGTGTCTGTCTGTCCGTCCGTCCGTCTGTCTATCTGTCTGTCTGTCTGTCTGTCTCAGTCTGTCTGTGTACATTGAAAAAAATGGTAACCATCTAAATTTACTGGTTTTAATATTAAGAAATATTATTTAACATCACTGTATCCACCTAAATGCCTTGATTTATCTATGTTTATCTATCTATGTTTTTCTGTCTGTAAGGCCTATAAATTTCATGACTGTCAAGCCTTTTCAAAGTCTGTCTTGACAAACTTTGCTTTTCTAGTTAAAAATTACAGTTACATGAATTTATTTACATGTTAATTCATTCACTTAACAGCATGTAAATGCTGTTGTTGTGTTTGTGTATTTTTCACAGGGCGATGCTCAGTGAGTGGTTTTGGTGGGATCGGCTGTGGTTGCCGAGGCCGGTGATGTGGGCGGACCTACAGGACAGTGAGGGGCATGTCTATGCCCGTGTGTCCCATTTGTACATCACTCTACCTGTAGCAGTCCTGCTGCTAGGCTTAAGAGCTTTATATGAAAGGTACACACACACACAAGCGAAATTTACATGCTGGTTTTTGCTGATATGTGCTGGTGGAATTGTATATCCATGCTTTTCATCAGGAACACTGAGCTGGTAAAGCCAGTTGGTCAAGGAATCTTTACTGCTTAAGCTAATTAATAAGTCTGGTGAGAACGCCAGCATTCAAAACACAACATGTATTATATGTTCTCATAATTGCTGAAGTGCAGTGAACATCCCTGGTTAACAGCAGATGAAGGTGTGACTCTGTCTCGCTGCCTCTCCCTCAATCAACAGACTGATCGCGGTGCCAGTCGCTGAGGCTCTTGGGGTTAAAGACAAAATTCGCATGAGAGCGTCACACAACCCCATACTGGAAAAATACTACAAAACTCACTCTAAAAATCCAACACAGGTAACCCCCGAAACACGCATTTTTAATGCATTCCTATAATGGATTTATTCTCACTAATCGCATTTAATCTCAGAACATGTTCAGATCACATTCCACCCTAAAATCAGAAGAAAAATAAGTTTGGTGTAAAAAAAAGACTACTTTAAGGACCTTTAAGATTTTTTACATTATGATATTATTTTGACAATTAAGCAAATTACCCCCAAATTCTTAATCTTTGTTAACTTCCATTTATACTTATTTTGATGAATAATAATAATAATAATAAAACTTTGTTTCTGAATGATTGATTTTTTTTTATGGGAATCACAATTAAGAATAATTATCAAGTAATATATGCCATGTTTTTGTGAAATTTACCCTCAAAAAATTATTCTATACAGTATATAGTATAATAATATACCTTATAATAAGTTGAATGTTCTCATTAATTATTGTAATAGTATTGGCAATATGTTATAATAGAACATTAAATATAAACAGTATAATGCATTAAAACACATGATTAAATTCAAATATTAAATCCAAGTTTTAAAATGCATTAGATTCGTTACAGGTGTAACCATGTGTATATTATAATGTATTATAATAGTAGTTCAGTTATTTATGAACATATATAATGTCTCACAATATGTATAAGGTATTACTAACACACTGGAAAAATGGCTTTGAAACGATTTTCATTCAGAAATTGACTGAAATTTCAGAAATAATTACAAAGAATGGCAAACAGCACACTGAATTAAATGTGAAATTTTGAAAGACTGAAAAAATTGTTTTTTACAGTGTATCTTTGTAACACCTTTTGAACACATTTGTAATGCATTACATAAACAGGCTTCAACAAGCACCGCTAATAGAAACATATGTCCTATACATATGTATATATGTAGGGCCAGGACATATTGACATATTAAGTTTGTGTGTCTAGTAATGTTTGTGTATGTTATGCACTTAGGCAGATATAAAAGGTGTATGTAAAAAGTTGGGCTGGTCGGAAAGGCAGGTCGAGCGCTGGTTCCGCAGACGGAGGAACCAAGACAGAACCGGACTACTGAAGAAATTCAAAGAAGCCAGGTCTATTTACACACACTAAACAAACTTTCATGATTGACTCATTCGTATTTGCCCATATTTGGCCTTTTAACCCTTTGTAACCCCGTGTATGTCTGTTATTAACAAAAGTATTTCCTTTCTGTAGTTGGCGGTTTGCCTTTTATCTGTGGTCATGTTTCGGGGGAGTGCTGGCTTTATATGATGTAAGTGTTTTGTGTGTGTGTGTGTGTGTGTGGTTCCCTCAGACTGCATCTGAACATCTGAATGACCTCCAAACAGCTGTGTGTGTGTGTGTGTGTGTGTGTTGCAGCACATGCAGAGATTCTCAGGAGAGACCTTGAATCAGCATGTGTGTTTGTGAGAAATGCCTGTGGGGTAATTAGTAACAATTTCCCACCTGTGAACAGCGCTAGTCTGATAGAAAGATCCACAAACGGGTACAATAACAGGCATGGACAGGCCCTGCACACACCCAAGCACACACATACATTAATTTGTTGTTAAAACAAGCATACTAACGTATTAAATTTAGGCATGTAATCCCATATCCAACCATATCTAGGGTTTAGGGTAGTGAATTATGTGTGGGCTCTTTTGAATTGGGTTTTTAATAACACAGAAATAAATTTGTTGTTTTGAAGTAGGTCTACCTAGAATTGAACAATTACACACGAGCAAACGTGCAGGTTATCACAGTGATATTCAGACCAACGGCATGTCTGAGAGTAGCCTATGAAATTGCTTTTATACAACAGTTCAATAAACAAGAAGGCAATGCTGAGTAACTTACATTTTAGACACAATATTGACGGTTAGTTTGAGTATTTTTGCTCCACCAGCGAACTGTTAATCAACCGTCGAGTATCTCCTAGTAGTAACACACCGTAGCGGTGTTTCATTCCTATTAAATGAATCAATGTTTTGAACGAATCTGTTGATTCGAATGATTCAAAGATTCATTCACTTGACGCCACCTACTGGCGTAACGATGCAACTACGAGAACGAATCACTGAAAAATCCTCATCTCTAATACACAGACTGAAATATTAGTGTTTATTTCATTTAATGAGATTATTTGGTTCAAAAAATAAATAAATAAACTCTGAGTTATATTGTTTTGTGCGACAGAAACCATGGTTTTATGATCTACGGGAAGTGTGGGCAGGATTTCCAAAACAAGTAAGTATAACCTATGGAAGAAAAAAAAAACACTACATTCGAGTGGTTTAAAAGCAAAAACAAATATACTGTACGTAGCACAGTGAAAACCAGTCTGAATATTTGCATGTTGTTCTGGGAGGGTTGTGTTTGTGCAAGCATGTTTGTATGGTGGTTGGTTTTTAAATATGTTTGTTTTGTGTGTGTGTGCAGTCACTGCTGGACTCTCAGTACTGGTATTACATCATTGAGATGAGTTTTTATGGTTCTTTACTGTTCAGTGTTGCTGCAGATGTAAAACGTAAGGTAAGGATGCACTATTTTCGTTACATTATCAGTTATAAATATTTTATCTTCTCTAAAAGATTTTGTATTTCAAATTATTAAGGTCACATCAAGGTCATAAGCACTCTTGCAGGTAGCACAGCTAATAAGATCATAAAACAGTCAGTTAGCAATAATGCATGCAATTCAATGCAGTACGTTTTAATAAATGGATGTATGCATTCATTAAAATAATACGCTTTTGGAGAAATTTTATGGAATTTGTAAATAACTGAAAACTTGATAGGAATATGAAGTTGCCATATCTTGAGAGATATGCCTTTCTAGGTTTATGGAGCTCTATTTCTCTCTGTGTCGATTTGTAGGACTTTAAGGAGCAGTTGGTCCATCATTGGGCCACTCTTACACTGCTGTCCTTCTCCTGGTGTGCTAACTACATTCGCATTGGCACACTAGTCATGCTGGTGCACGACACATCTGATGTCCTACTCGAGGTGAGAGAGAGCGATAAACAGTGAAAGAAGAGTTAAACATATCTTAAAGGGAAGGATAGTTCACCCAAAAATTAAAATTCTGTCATCATTTACTTATCTTCACATCGTCCCAAACCTGTATGACTTACTTTCTTCTGTGGAACACTAAAGGAGATAGTTGTATTTATAGTAGGAGATATATTTTTTTTCTTGTAGTAGATATATTTTTCTATTTCAGCATATTAGAATGATCAAATCAGCATATAAGAATGATTTCTGAAGGATCATGTGATACTGAAGACTGGAGTAATGGTGCTGAAAATTCAGCTTTGCATCACAGGAATAAATTACATTTCAAAATATATTAAAATAGAAAACAGTTATTTTAAATTTGCAATTATATTTGACAACATTTAGGTTTTTACTGTACTTTTGATGAGCACTAAATTTAATTCAAAAACGTTAAAAAATCTTACCGACTCCAAACTTTTGAATGTCAGTGTATGTATGGGGTGTTTTGTGTTGTCGTTTTTCTGTTTCTCGAAGTCTGCTAAGATGTTCAACTATGCTGGATGGGAGACGACCTGCAACAGTATCTTTGTGGTGTTCGCGCTGGTCTTCATGGTAACCAGACTCATTATCTTCCCTTTCTGGTAAGTGTGTGACAGAGGTAAATGAGTGGGAGATTTTAGGGTTACGTTTGTTAAATTGTGTGTGTGTGTCGTGAGTACAGGTTGATCCACTGTACGTGGGTTTATCCTCTGGACCAGTTTGAACCCTTTTTCGGCTATTATTTCTTTAACGTCATGCTTGTGGTGCTGCTGTTATTGCACATGTTCTGGGCCTCCCTGATCCTCCGCATGGTCAAAAAGTTTCTTTTTGGCAAAGTGAGTATCCATTGTTCTTCATATAAAATAACTAATAAAGCAGTATGTGCATAAATAAATAACTAAATGCACAATATTAATTCTCTTTCATTCTCTTTAGCTGAAGGGTGATGAGCGCAGCGATGAAGAAGAGAATGAGGAGGGTTCTGAGGAAGACTACACACACACCTACTCTAATGGATCTGTTAACGGACTGTCTAATGGCCATTGACACAGGGAGACCTTCCTCAAATAGCCTTTTGATGCCATGCATGCATATATGTCCATATTGGACACATGATTCATCTGTGAATTTTCATTTTTACATAGCCTTTCATATTAAGGTTTGTATATGTACAGATATTATGGTAGATAAATAAAATACAAATTATTACTCATGTTAACAGTGATTTAATGTTTTTAAACAACAGTTATGAATTAAAACTTCTTAGCAAGTGCCAATCCAAACAGTAGTTAAATGTATCCATATGAAGTCTCTTATTCTCATCAGGACCACATTTATTTAATCAAAAATACAGTAAAAACAGTAATATTGTGAAAATAGTTGAAAATAGTAAAATCAATGTTGAAAATAGTTGTGCTACTTAATATTTTTGTGCAAAATGTGATAAATTTTATCAGGATGAATAGAAAGTTAAAAAAAAACAGCATTTATTTAAAACAGAAATCCTTTGTAACATCATGTCTTTGATTAATGTAACGCATCCTTGCTGAATAAAAATATTAATCTTACCGACCCCGAACTTTTTAATTGTACTTTACACTATGCTATGCAATATACAACACTGCATACTATGAATAATATAATATGAATATGAAGAGTAATATATAGTGACAAACACTATTAACAAACTTAAAAGCTCAGTATTTCACTCATATTCAGAAAGTGTCATTCTATAAACAACGCAGGTACTCTCAGATACTCCATGTAGCTCTCAGATTGTTGATGTATTCTTCGTCATCAGGGATTTCAATACTCAGACCCTCATAATAGTCCTCAAACTCAGCGTAGGACACAGTCTTGGTGACCTTTCCTGCTTCCCGTACAAAGGCCAGGAAGTCAGGGTTCAGACCGTCTTCTGTTAACAGTTCGACATAAGAATGGTAATAAATTCATAAATATCAATCATCCATGTGGTCATTTCAGTAATATTACTCTTGTAGCTTCCTAAGCGTATCTGTAAAATGAACTCTATACAGTCTTTTTGGAAATGAATACTGAAGTACCACAAGTTTAACACTCAATGTTTGTCATGAAATATTGACTGACACTGAATAAGCACAACTACAATACTACCTACCGCCTGCAAGCCAGAGACTAAATGATCAGTGGCTCACTGAGTGCTGTGTCAGACTCTTGTTTACCTCTATAGAATTTTTCAATATCACTCAGGAAAATGGAGCCGGTTTTATTTGGGTCAAGCTTTACATAAACCTAAAAAAAGAGAAAGATAAAAATATTCAAAACAGCAGCAAATGGCCAGAATGGAAACTCAGTAAGTCACAGAGCTCAATGGCGTCCTCTGGAGGATGAATGCAGTCCGGCTGGTCTGTTGCCTTCAGGAAGATGGCTTTTCTATTCTTGCTCATCTCCCTGGTAACAGCAGGCATCACATCAGGGGGGTGCACCCACCCCTCCACACACCGACTCACAATCCTCCACACCGCCTCGAAGTCCTGTCACACACGGCACACGCTAATGTAACGACTCAACACGCTCACATAATGTTCTACATCAACATGCCTGGTGCTTTTCTACAGCCTCATCATTTCTGCTGTATGGCTGGATAGATATTTTTTGAAATATCTATATATATTTTTAATAGTTTTGAAATTAGCTTTTAGATTTTTAAATACATCTTATGAGTTTAATGTTATGGATTAATTTATTTCTCTCTACCTGCGGAGTGAGGCACAGCTGCTCCATCAGAGGCCGTCTGAGCAGCTCTTTTTGCTGAATACTATCAGCCTTTAGATCTAAATTCTGCAAATCTCTTAGATTGATCAGGGTTCGGACCGCACGTCCCCTCAGCCTATCATGCACTGCACCTGCAAAACATCCACCAATCAGAGCTCTGGATTCTAATTCAAGCATTCTGTGACTGGTTAATTATGAATGTAGCTCTTAACAGTACACAGTCACTTTATGGTGAAGTGTGTGATTTCAGGTGGCCATGTGCATTTTTAATCTTAAAAATGTAATGCTCATGGCGCAAGACCAGATTGATGAATTTGATTTCAAAGTAGCCAGTTTCAATTATATGTACATTTATTTATTCAGCAAGGGTGCATTAAACTGATCAAAAGTGTCAATAAATATATGTTTTCTATTTAGAAAAGATTCCACAAAAATATGAAAATATGAAAAATGTGAAGCACGACTGTTTTCAACATTGATAGCAATAAGTAATAATGTTTTTATGTTTGAACATAAGCGACTTCTTTCAAAAACATCTAAAAATCTTACCAACCTTACCGACTGGCATATCATGCAATTAATCTGATTAAAAATTTTGACAGCTCCAATTTTAACATTAAAAATTACGTCACCTTATAAACAGGTTTGTGTGGGTGAGAAACATTCTGGATGAATATTTATGCATTTTAATAAGAAATGTTTGTGTGTATTAACCTTGAATTTCCTTTAGAGCGTTTCGATCGTTGATTTCCTCTTCAGAGAGATGATGTAAAGTTCCCCCAGACTGAGTTCTGTGCTAAAGAAACACTCTTGAGTCCTCTCACTAGCGCACATGTGTGGGTGTGCGTGTGTGTGTGTGTGTGTGTGTGTGTGTGAGTGGTACATACAGCAGGGCTCCCTTGGCTGTATCATCCACATCAGTAACTCTGAGGGTCAGGCACGGCTGCTGTCTCAGACTTTGGGGGAGGTGTGGGCCGTCTGTACAGAAATGAAGCTCGGCACCCTGGGTGATGTAGGCAGAGTGTTAATGAATTAATATTAGTCCGTGTGTGAGTGACAGATGATGAGTGTGGTGAACCTGTGAGATGTCCTGCAGGCAGTACGGCCTCCCTCTGTTCAAATACACACCACGCACGATAAAGGGCAGTGCGTTCCATCTGAAAGAGTTATGATTAACAACTATATTTTCAGACACCTAAATGTGGAGGAAAACTATGTGTGAGCTGTATTTGTATAAATACAAAGCATTATAGCCTTACCTGTTTTTACCAACATTTCGGTACTCGTACACGGTCAGTGTTTGGTCACATGTGAAAAAGAAGCCGATCAGTTTTCGACACGCTTCACGTCCACACCTATATATCGAACACATGCAAATTACAAAATAAAACACTAAAAATGGCTGAAAGTAAGTAAGTAGCTGTGACTACCTTGAT